ATTAAATATTTATTTATTTGTGAAAAATACTTTGTCTTCTAGAGTATAAGTATGCTTATTTTACACGTTTATTTTTTAATCCATTTTCAAATGATTTCAAATTTCTTAAATATGAATTAAAATATATAAAATGATATCGGCTTTATATTGGCCATCGGCCACCCTGCTTTCCAAAATATCGGCATCGGTATCGGCTGTCAAAAAACCCGTATCGGTCGACCACTAGTTCTGAGAGTTGAACTGTGCTGTTAGATATTGCGCTCAATAAATTATTTTGGGCATTGTTTAAAGTGAAATAGAATCAAGTCAGCAAGAAAATCAAAATGGTTCATTCTTAGTTTTTATGGAATATTGGAGTATCTACAAATCTTTAATTAAAAGCATAACAAGTTTCAGCTTTTCCCGTCCATCAACCAGTCACATGAGTGTCTGTTTTGCATTGACCACTTTCTATGATCCAATCAATTCCCAATGGACAAAATCATGTCCAGCCCTACATGTTTTCTTTTCTCATTCGGTGAGTCTTTCTTTCATTTATACAGCACAGTTTTAATTTACATTTCATGCTGACTAATGTTTTTTTTTTGTTTTTTTTAGTAATTGTTGCACATGCTTCTCATATAATTTTTGAATTATTGGGTAATTGCATTTTATTGCATTATTTCAGTGTGCATTGTCAGCAACAAAGTCTAATACTGTACTCTGAAAACTTAAAATTGTGTGTTAGCTAAAAATGTAAACCATAAATAAACATGTTCATTGTTTGAAACAGATTACATTTAAATAAATTAACATTAACTGAAACCAAATCGAATCTAAAAACATGGAACTTATTTGATTTCAGCTAGTTCTCATTTCAGCATTTCATATTTTCTTTATCTTAAGTTAAAGTACTAAAATAGCTAAAGCTAAATAAACTAAAAAAATACAGACATTTTAAAAACAAAAATAAGATGACAACAAAATTACTAAACCTTCAATTAAAATTAAATGTAAAAATGTAAAATTAAAAAAGAATCTAATCTAAAAAAATATAATAGTATATCAGTGATAGTAAAATAACACTGGTTCTGATATATTCACTAGATTGTTTGGATATATCAGTGTTTAAAGATAACTGATGGTAGTGACATTATTTTTTATTTGGGGGATAAAACTCCCGAGTTCTTTGAGTTACACTCAAGTGTATCTTGGGTAGAATGAAGCTTGTTAAGCGCTGCAGTGAAGTATTAAGGTCTTACTCAAAGTTCAGCTTTAGCAACTGAAGTAAAACTGTCTGTGTGACCAGAGAGGGATCTCAATCTCATTTCCTGAAGATCTCTCGGGGTTTGTGGGGATTTGACTATGTGGTGCATTTTTCCCTCTTGCTCTCGTCTCGTGCTAACAGCAGATTATTTCTGATTAAGGCTTACCTGCCCAAATATCTGCTCTGCTTTTCACGGCGCTCTCTCACTAATCTTCTTAGTCTGTCATGTAATCTTTGAAATCTGAGTTTCTGAAAAAGTTTGATCAGAATCTCAAAGTGGAATCATTTTCCCACCATCAGCACTTTTGAAAGAGATGCTTTCTTATCCCTTTTGACTTTTTCCCCTGTATTTGAGTATGGTTTCTTCTCGTCTCTGTCTCAGGTGCTCTGGCGCCCACCGGGCGGCTCATGGTGGAGTTTCCTCTGGATCCGGCTCTGTCTAAAATGCTGATCGTGTCATGTGACATGGGCTGCAGTGCAGACATTCTCATCATCGTCTCCATGTTGTCTGTGCCGTCCATCTTCTACAGACCAAAGGTACAGAGTGTACATTTTGTTCTAGTGTTCTTCGCACACTCAGAAGCATTAACAGACTCTTTACTAGAACATATCGACCTGTAAATGTGACAATTGTTCAAAACTGCCGTTACTCGTCTAGGGTCGAGAGGAGGAGAGTGACCAGGTGAGAGAGAAGTTCTCGGTGCCTGAGAGTGATCACCTGACCTACCTCAACGTTTACCTGCAGTGGAAGAACAACAATTACTCCAGCATCTGGTGTAACGATCACTTCACCCACACCAAAGCCATGCGAAAGGTACCTTAACTTGAGGTGTCACTCTTAATCAAATTAATTTATTATGGGGGCAATATCACTCTTTTCTTCCCCTGAAGTCCACATAATTCTATGTAAATATCCTCTTCACATGGGGAAGTGAGTACATTTACATTTAGTCAGGGTCGGCGCCAGAGCGCACAAAGTGAGGGGGCAGGCACAATTTTTGGGGGGTCTGCTTTGAAAAAAAAAATGTTTCTGAAAGTAATTTTCAGATGCAACGGGGGAAAAAACGGGATAGACACAAACATGAAACTTGTAAATAAAATAATCTGATATATAGCCTATGTACAATTTAATAACATATAGCCTAGTTTGATATATGAATTGGGTGTTCGTCAAAGATTGCATGCGGTCAGAGATTCCCGTGTTTACAGCTCCATAAAATAACCTACTGGAAGCTCTAGTTTTGCTGTATAGGCCTATAGATAAAAATATTAAAATTACAAACTGGCCGGGCCGGGCCCCCTCAGCCCCCCCCGTGGCGCCGACGCTGCAGTCATTTAGCAGACGCTTTAATCCAAACCGACTTACAAATGAAAACAATGGAAACAATCAAAATCAACAAAAGAGCAATGATATACAAGTGCTATAACAAGTCTCAGTTAGCTAGGGTAGCAATATAAGTTGCGTCTGTCCCATCCTAAAATAGCAACCTTAAAGGACAATCAACAATCTTTGTATGTGGGTGTGAAAGTTTTCTTACCACAGTCTTTTTTTGTGTAGTCATGTAATATTGATTGAAAAAAGTTTTTGGCTTTTTGCTTCATAGACAGACTAGTTTTATTAAAAGCCCATCTTGCCAGTGGAGAATTATTCCTAATTCAGCTGCTCTTTTCTAATGTTGGGATCCTTCTGACCAGTGTTATTTTATTATTATTTATATACTATTAAAGTTTGTATGAATATTTTGAATGATTTTTTATTTTTATTTATTTTTTAATTTTCACGTTCATTTTAGTTTCATTTTTATTCATTTTATTATGTGCTTATGCATTTTTATTAGCTTTAGGTTTTTTTTAAATAATAGTACTATTTAGGTTTAATTAATTAATTAATTAATTTATTTATTTATTTCCTGTTAGTAATTTATTTCCTCAACTTACTTCAGTTAGTTGCTAAAGCAACATTTTTTCATCTAATATTTATATTGTATTTTATTTCAGCTTTATTTCAATGAATCAATTCAATCTGCTGGTCTTAAAAAGGCTTTAAAAAAGTCTCAATTCACCCTTCCACAAATTAAGGCCTTTAAAAGGTCAGGGCATTAAATATTGCATGCATAGCTAAAAATTTGTTTCTTCAGTATTTTTGTCTTGTTTTCCTATACAAATTTCTTTAAATCAAGATACATTTTTACTTGAGGTGCAAGGTGAGGAGATGTCTTGTTTTCTGGGAAGTGAACAAAATTGAGTAAAATTGAGAGAACAAATATCTGTAAATAATTAATAAATTAATTTGTTTTTTATAAGCCCATTGGCATATCTTTGCTCTTTTTACTTCATTTTGATCAATTTCAAATCATTTCTTTGTCATTTTACTTCTAAAGTAAATTCATCTTCATTTAAGCATCTTCATTTTTTATTTTTATTTTTATCATAAGGTACAAAAAAAGATATTTCCATATTCTAGTGTTTGGGAGCAAAGGTATTCATGCTTTAAGCTATTTTTTGTGAACTAAAGTTTTTGATTGGTTGTATTTTAAATACAAGATATTGTGTTTCTTAAATTTTCTTTAATTGGTCTTAAAAATATCTTAAATTAAGCTTCATAAAACCTGCAGAAACCCTGTAATAGTTTAGCTATACATTTTCTCTGAAAGTTGAGGTGTGTAATTTTAGTGCAAAAATAATTGTGCTTCCTATTTATTTGATTTAGTTTATCCTGAATAACAGTGTGTGGTGTGTCACAGGTGCGCGAGGTGCGATCTCAGCTCAAAGACATCATGGTGCAGCAGAAAATGAACCTGGTCTCCTGCGGCTCAGACTGGGATGTGATCAGGAAGTGCATCTGTGCTGCATACTTTCACCAGGCTGCTAAATTAAAGGTACACAACTACTTGGCATATTTGGCAGTGTAATTATGGATTCCGTTTCATCAAGCAGCATGTGAAACATCTTCATAATGTGTATTTGTTTGTTTAGGGAATAGGGGAGTATGTGAATGTGAGAACTGGGATGCCCTGCCATCTGCACCCCACCAGTGCTTTGTTCGGGATGGGCTACACCCCCGACTACATCATCTACCATGAGCTGGTCATGACCACAAAGGTACTTCAGTTAGTATGAATCACGGTTTGCTATAACAGTTAGTTAGTGCACATGCCCTGACACATCTGACGCTGCGCTCTGGTGATTATATGGGGGGTGCAAGTTTGAATCTAGCTTGCAACATTTCTTTATCCACTTGTTTTTTTTTTTGTCATTTTGATTTTATGATTTTGTTGTTTCTCCAATGTTGTATTTATAAAAGTTATGGAAATTACACTTTTAAATAAAAATAAATAATTATTATTATTTATTGTTAAACTACTAGTACTAAATTATTTAATAGAAATACTGTTTTCTATTTTAATATATTTAAAAAAATTTATAATATGCTGATTTCGTGCTTATTTCTTATCAATGTTGACGTTTTTGCTGCTTAACTTTGGGGTCAATATGATTTAGTTTTTTTAAGAAATTACTACTTTTATTTAGCAAGGATGCAATAAATTGACAATAAAGACAGTAAAAAAAGTGCAAGTAAAGACATTTATAATGTTACAGAATTGTCTATTTCAAATAAATGCTGTTTTTCTGATCTTTCTATTAATCAATGCTGTTGTTTTGAACATTCTGTTCATCAAAGAATCTCGAAAAATTAAATGTATCACGATTTCCACAAGAATATTAAGCAGCAGAAATGTGCTTTTTGTACATTGATAATAAATGTTTCTTGAGCAACAAATCATCATATTAAAATGATTTCTGAAGGATAATGTGACACTGAAGTGAGCTGAAAATGAAGCTTTGCCAAAACAGGAATAAATGACATTTTAAAATATATGAAAATATTTATTTTAAATTGTATTAATATTTCACACAATTACTGTTAATGTATATGTATGTAAGCATGTTTGTGGCCATATGATGTCCATATTTATGAGTTTGCTCTAAAATGGTTTGAAACTTTTTGTAAAACACAGTGAAAAGCTTATTTATATGCTCAAATATATGAATTAATGAACGTTAAGCCATGCTAAAGGTTTTTTAGTGATGTAAGCAAATTGAATTGAAGTGTTGAATCAGTGCTATCATCTTTTTTGCTTCTGAATAAAAAGCACAGTAAATCTTCATGATATTCACAATGTTGACATTTTATACTAGCAACAACATGCTATTCAATATCCCATCCCCAAAGCTAGTGAAGAGTGATTTGTTGACACGTATGTGTGTTTGTGTTTCAGGAGTACATGCAGTGTGTGACGGCTGTGGACGGCGAGTGGCTGGCTGAGCTGGGGCCCATGTTCTACAGTATCAAACATGCAGGAAAGAGCAGACAGGTGAGCAACATCCTTCCTGAATATCACACCCAACACATACAGTGCGCATTTGTGACCCTGGACCACAAAACCAGTCATAAGGGTCAATTTTTTTGAAATTGAGATTTATATATCATATGAAAGCTGAATAAATAAGCTTTCCATTGATGTATGGTTTGTTAGGATAAATAGGAATAGATACAACTATTTGAAAATCTAGAATCTGAGGATGCAAAAAAATCTAAATATTGAGAAAATCGCCTTAGCAATGCATATTACTAATCAAAAATTAAGTTTTGATATATTTATGGTAGGAAATGTACAAAATATCTTCATGGAACATGATCTTTACTTAATATCCTAATGCTTTTTGGCATTAAAGAAAAATCTATAATTTTGACCCATACAATGTATTGTTGGCTATTGCTACAAATATACCCCAGCGACTTAAGACTGCTTTTGTGCTCCAGGGTCACATTTGTCTCACTCACTTTTTGTCACTCTTTCAGGAGAACCGAAGGAGAGCAAAGGAGGAGATCACCAACATGGAGGAGGAGATGTCTCTTGCACAAGAACAGATCCATGCACGGAAAGAAGAGCAGGAGAGGAAGAGCGATCTGGGCAGTGTCAGGTATTTCAACCCTCACTGCTGTCACTCAGAGTTTAGAGTCACTTTCTGCTCTTTAGAGCGACTGCTCGCACTCTCACGAAATCAGAATCGTCCTATTTAGACAGAATGGCTGCCGTGCTGAAATACTAATGTCGCAATTTTTAGGAAGGCTATTATCCCCTTCACAGTTCACACCCATCTCTTTCTTCACCTAACATCTCCCTGTCTTCCCCATGATGAGCTTTTCTCACCTCCCGTCTCCACAGGAGAGAAAAAGAAATAATATTGACTCCTGGCTGACCCCCATTACTGTAGCAATTTAAATTGTGCCACCACAGACGGGGAGAAGAGGGAGACGCTAATTTTTGGACTAATCCGGGAAATTAATTTTACACACACCTGTCAGCTCCACAAAAGCGAGAAATGTGTCCTGTAAAATAACACTTCATGAATTAATCAGGACTTTTATCTCTGAATCAAAGCCTTCGGCTGACTGTCGGAGTGATGGACGTCCTGACACTAATCACATTAAAAGTGGAGATTAGACTTTTGATTTGCATGATGGGGAGATGGATAATTAAGGTGCCGGCCTCCCTCTTGGGCTCTGATGCCTTCATGGGGTTTTAAATAAGCTGATAGGAAGACGCTGGCTGATCGAAGATGAGATCACAGCTCATCTCACCTGACCTGAATCCTGTGGGACCCACAGGTCACTTAGAGGGCATTTTACATTTCTTCTTCTTCTTTACATTTCTTTCAGAAGGAAGAAATGTCCTTCTGCTTTGTTTATTCCACTACTAATCGTTTGGCATTTTTATACGCAAATGTAGGACAAGACATTTGTTGAGGTTTAAAGGAATAATTCGGCCAAAAATTAAAATGTACTCATCCTCAGACCATCCAAGATGTAGGTGCGTTTGTTTCAGAACAGATTCTGCGAAATTTAGCATTACAAGTGAATGGGTGCCGTGTTTGTAATAAATCCATCAAGACGTTTTAGCTTCAAACTGCTGCATCCAGCTAAAATGCGAGTCCTCTATCCATCATATTGCTTTCTCCAGTGAAAAAGTATATCTCATCAAGTCAAGTTGAGCTTTATTGTCATTATGCTACATGTGTGGACATATAGTGGAACGAAATGTCGTGTCTCGCAGGACCACGGTGCTACATACTAATTAAACAAATATAATAACAATAGAAGAAGTATAAGAAAAACAATTATACACAGTTAATCATCTGACTATACTTATACTATAAATAGTTGACTATGCATACACATAATCTGAGTGAGACTGTACAAGAACTTTACATAAATACTGTACATGAAATTGTGCAAAAGAGAGATTTTAGGGGAAGCAGCGCAGAGTGCAAGATGATTTGTAGTGCAATGCACAAGTAAACATATTATCTTACTGAGTCTTTGTAGCAGGGAGTGTTTTTAAAAGTGTCACATATTTGTGTGAGTGAATCAGGAGAGAAATATGCACAGATCAAGCATCTTTTACAAGTGGAAACATTCTAAAAGTGTTCTAAACAAAAATGTCTTTGGTGTGAGAGGGAGCATTATTATGGACTGTGTACTCTTATTTTGGCCTTAATGATGGATTTGTTTATTACAAACATGCAGTTTTTTGCTTCACAAGACGTTAATTGATGGACTGGAGTTGTGTGGATTATTGTGATGTTTTTATCAGCTGTTTGGACTCTCATTCTGACGGCACCCATTCACCGCAGAGGATCCATTGGTGGCAAGCAAGTGACGTAATGCTAAATTTCTCCCAATCTGTGAAGATGAAGAAACAAACTCATCTACATTTAATGGCCCACGTGTGTAAAATGTTCTGAAAATTGTGTGAACTATTCCTTTAATACTGCAACCGCATAGCAACATACTGAAAACACTCAAAATAATGTCAAAATGGAGAAGCGAGCTTCTGCAACCACTCAGAACGCCATAGCACCGTGTCAGAGAGTTCTGCAGCCCACATTTTCTTCATAAAATGTAAAAGTTAATTGGAATATTCGTTAGGAAAAAAACGTATAAAATTGGCTAAAAGTTCGGATGGCAGGCAGCAGAAAGTGAAGTGACGGAGGTGTGAGCCGAGTCTGTGGTGGGTCATGGCCTGATGGATGTACTTGCTGGCGGTGTGAGGAGGGGAGCGCTGTGCACCGCTGTAATTAAAGATGATAGATCGCCCTGTCAGCTGCATCAGACCCTCGTCCCACAGGTCCCCACAGAGACAAACTGTCCTTTTCTCTCGGCCCGAAGCGCCTTGTCACCGCTCTGTCTGTTCTTCTCATTTAACCTTAGAGCAAATCTCACAACTTCTGATGCATGGCACATCACCGTCACACACACAACCGTTCTGTTTAAATTAACATCCTGAAATAAACACGTCTTTTCATCATTTCCAAACAGGTCAATAAAGATCTTCACCCCAGGAAGGAGAGAGGAAGCGCCCATGACACCAAAACGAACACCGGCCCGATTTGGCTTATAGTGCTACAATTTCAGCCAGATAATATTGCAAATATGATTTTATTTGCCACAGTTGCTTCAGTCAGTGCAATGTTATTAAATTTGAGCATCACAGTGCTTGTCACATGCAGCTTCCAGGTTTGTCCAGAAGTAGGAGCAATTGTATAAGGAGAACATTTCTAGTCACCATCTCGTCCCCTCAGACAAAGTGTTATTTGTGACTCTTTTGGACTGTCTGGATTGAGACAAAAAAGGTTGCTAGTACTGCATTCAATAATTTTTTTTTTAACCAAATTAAAAAACAAACACATTTGTCCTTATATATGAACGCATTTGAACTAAACAAAAAAAATCAGCTTTATTTGACATTATAAATATACTTAGCCCAATGAATGTGTGTGTAAACCAGAACAGCAGAATTTATTCATGTCCTGCTGTAATATTCACTTTACCATTGAATTATAATTCACGTTCTCTCATATTTCAGTTTGTGAAGCGCAGCTGTTGTATCATTCTTTCAGAGAGCACAGAGCATCCATGAATATTAACTTCCTGTACTTTGATAGGTTAATCCCCTGTGGATGAAGCTTGTCTTTGTTATTCTGACAAAAACATTGCTAGAATATTTCATCATTCTGCTGGAATCAACACTGACCAGGCGGCGGTCAAACCCTTTGTCGTCTTTGATGCAATTGGGCTGCAAGTCATTGAACAGATGTGCTGTGTACCGACAGAGATGACAGGCGTTCACACAATCCATGATCAACCGCTTGCCACCGACGCTCATTTCACTTTCTTTCTGATTTTCAGGGCTCTGTTTGTGTTTTTGGAAACTTTGAAATAAGAGGTCTGCTGAACTTTATTATTCTTAATTACTGATGTGTGCAGTATGTCTGTATATTGTGCTTCTTTCTTTTGTTGAATGATTTAGAAGTCAAAACATGTTTAGACATGGCAAATTTTTTTCAGAAAGGCTGGAAAATGGGAATAACTATATTTTTTGAAAGTGTGTATTGTTCATTCTGTGTTTCCTTTGTATTTCAATTTTAGTGTTTTATATTAGATATTAAAGAAATGAATATAGAAATGCTTTAATTTTTGGTAGTGATTGGATCACTGCATTTAGTGTGTTAAAAAACATTTAATACATTAGTATAATTAGGGGCTGTATTACACAAAATTAATTTTTGCTATCCATTGTGCGTTTTTTCCATTGTAAACATGTACTAAATGGACATCTTTGACCATTGCCCTTGAGTCTTTTGCAGCGTCTCATTTTGTTCCCCAAAAAGTGTTCAAGGCACTTCAAGTGAAAAAAAGTGGCCTTCCTTAGGGCTTCAATTTGTCTCATGATCCCACATTCCTGGAAATACCATGGAGTTTAAAAAGTGTGATCTCCAGGTCTGTAAAAATCTTCGAAATTAATAAAATGTTATAAGGTGATGGAAATTTCAAGAGTCAAATTTTTCAAGTTATGTTCAATTCTGAAATATTTCTCGGTCTCGGTAACATTTACAGTACTATAATAGTTAACATAACAGCAAACAAATGTGATACTACGTTAAAATGAAAAGTTGTATCTGTTAATAGTAATTGACAGTAAACAGTTGTGTTCATTAACTAATGCTAATAACTATTCAGAAAGAAAAAAGAAAAAAACGTACAAATGAGTTGCTCGTTGTTAGTTTCTCTGCAGTGGATCCTCTGCAGTGAATGGGTGCCATCATAATGAGAGTCCAGACAGCTGATAAAAACACAATAATCCACACCACTCCAGTACATAAATTAACATCTTGTGACGTAAGAAACAAATTAATCATCAAGGTGTTTTTAAAATGTCAATTCTGGCCAAAACACGTGGCCATATTCCATAACAGTGCTTCTGCAGTGAAAAATCCATCCCTCGTTGTTCTCTCAAATCCACCAACATATTTGTTTAAAACTCTTTTGGACTATTTTTTACTAATAAACAGTGCTTGATCTGTGCACAATTCTCTCTTGATTCAGAGGAGATGACGTTTTCACTTGAAAAAGCAATATTATTGATAGTAGCGAACTCATATTTTAGCCAGAAGCAACAGTTTGAAGTCAAAAGTGTCTCAAAGGATTGTTTATTACAAACACTCTACTTTTCACTTCACGGGACATTACCTGATGGACTGGAGTCATGTGGATTACTGTGATGTTTTTATCAGCTGTTTGGACTCTGACGGCACCCATTCACTGCAGAGGATCCATTGGTGACCAAGTGATGTAATGCTACATTTCTCCAAATCTGTTCTGACCATGAAACAAAACTCATCTCCGTGGCCTTTGGGTGAGTGCATTTTAATTTGGGGTAAATTATTCTAGTGTTGCCACAGTCTCTATATGATGATTTAGTCATAAAAAACGTAGTAATGGAACACAAAATCTGTCTAATTTATTGTTCACAAAGTATGAGAATACTGTCACATATGATACTGAAAATTGAAGTGTTACTAATTTCAGTGGTAGCAATAGGAAAGGGAATAAAAACGGTATTTGCAATGAAAGTATGACAACCAGTGACTCCCAACCCATTATGGCACATTCTGGATGGCTCCCTGATTTAAAACACATGATCCATATCATCAGCTTCACAGTAACTCTAAGACAGGGGTGTCGATCCTTCAGCTGGAGGGCCACCTTTCTGCAGACTTGAGCTTCAACCCTAATTAAACACACGAGATTTCTGCTGAAGGTCGTCAGGATTACTTCAATCACAGGCAGGAGTGTTGGAGTTAAACTCTGCAGATGTGGCCCTACAGGAGCAGCTTTTGACACTCCTGCTGAAGGGCCTTAACCAGGTGTCACATAATCCAGAAATGAGCAACGCTGGGAAACTTCAGGACCAACACAGAACTACTGAGTTATGACTACACATAGCTTTACTGTTAAACTGACCAATGTCAAGTCAGATGTATTTGTATAGCTCTTTACAATACATATTGTTACAAAGCAACTGTACAGAAAATTATGCTAATGTTTAAAATATCTTGATATCTTCACGTTTTATATTCACAATTATAGAGCTGAGTGATAAAATAGTTTACAGTTTGCTTCTTTCTTTCTTTTTCTTTCTTTCTTTGTATGTGGATAAAGTTACTTATCCAACTTTACATAAAGAGCTTGGCAATAATATAGTTACATTTTGCAAAATAAAAATATTAGGCAGTTCAGATTTTGTACTATCGCTTTACATGGGTATAAAAAGACTGTAACCTAAAAACTGATATATCAGTAAAATATATTTTTTATAAATTTATAAATAAATATTTATTACTGGGTCTCAGGAGCAATATTAAAGTTTATATTTTATGACGATAAAACAATCAGGCAGCCAAGATTTGCTATATAGTATATATTGCTTTACGTGAGTATTCGCAGGTATATGTACTCTATATCCAATTTTTAATATTTGGGCAATAATATAGTTTACCTTTTTTGACGATAACAATCAAGTATTTGAGATTTGCTTATAGTCTTCATACTGCTTGACGCGTCTGTACCATATGATTCAGGTGTCCTGACATTCTGGATATGCCCATAATTGTATTTGATACGAATTATTAGTTTACGTTAAATTTTCACTAATGAAATCACATATATTCTCTTTAAAAGAATGCTAATTCTTGACCACTCTGAAAACTGTTATAGGCCCTGATGAACACCTCCAGAGTTCAATTTAGGGCGCAAGTTCAGTGATAAACAATAACCATCAAAATATAATTATAAGCTTTGTTCATTGTCCAGATTCTTACCTGCAGATGCTGCAATCGAGTAAGAACAGCTCATAACTCTCCCAGTGTAGTCATGCCTTCACATTTACTTTGGCCAGTGAAACCTCATAAACATGGTTTCATTAGATTTGCTGCTATCCTTTGATCAAAAATTCATTTCAGGTGTCATAACGAGTTATTTTACCATTAATTGGTGTTTTTTTCTTTCCAATTACAGCTGATATCCCAGAGTTCAGTAAAAAACCTGGTGAGCTCAAAGAGAAGCCGAAAGATCAACTCTGTATCACTGTTAGTGTGAGCTCACCAGACAGACATCCCAGAATTCAGTTATTCACCACAGCCAGGGGACATTTAATCAGACGTCCATCAGGCAGAGGTGAGGTAATACACTCTGATTATAATTATGATTGATGACCCTGCGTGATAAAATGTCCTTCGCTGAGTGTTTGTTTTCTTCGTTTTGCAAGGCATTTTCATGAACATCTCCAGGGGGGTGTAATAGGTTACAAATTACATGATGTTAACCGATTACCTGCGGTCTGATGATAAAGTTTGTTTTATGGCAAGACACTAATGGCAAAACCATTTTCAGACCCTGGTCAATTTTGAGGTTTTGAGCTATTTGGCTTCCATAACTTGACTTCTTTCAAACTAGTGTAAAGAAAACATCTTAAATACACACTTAAGAGTTTAGCACACTTTATATATTTGCGTCTGTAAATTTGAATTACAATGCATATCATTACAGGCAGTTTTCTCAAAACTAGTCTTTTTCTCCTGCATTGTGCTTTAAATCGATGGAAGCTTGTTTCCGCCATAAGATCTTTTTTTTTTGTTTGTTTGTTTTTTAATTACAACTTTTTATCTCACAATTCAGACTTCTTTCTTGCAATTCTGAGAAAAAATACAAACTTAGAATTGTAAGATAAATTTGAAGTTGCAAGAAAAAAGTAAAAATAATATTCTTAACTTAAAGGGGTCATATGATGCGATTTCAATTTTTCCTTTCTCTTTGGAGTGTTACAAGTTCTTGGTGCATAAAGAAGATCTGTCAAGTTGCAAAGACTAAAGTCTCAAATCCAAAGAGATATTCTTTATAAAAGTTAAGCGTCAGCCACGCCTACCTAAAACGGCTCATTCTAACACGCCCCCACATGTCTACATCACTATGTGGGAAGATTTGCATAACGCCGCCCAAATGTTCACGCAAAGAAAGAAGGCGTAACTTTTAGTCTCGCTGTATTATTGTTGCCGCCGCCGCCATGTCGTGAAGGCGCTGTGTGTTTCGTTGTGAAAGCGAAACTACTTTGTTTGGTCTTCCAAAAGAGGACGATATCGCTTCGTCATGCCTGGAGCTGATCCGTGCTGGTCGCTGAGGAAATACTTTAACTTTGCGCTGTGGATCGCCGGATCGGCTTTCACCGTGGACGACGTGGAGTCCAGCCCGGGGTCGGCCCTGGTTGCCGCAGGCATCACAATATGGTAAGGGGCGTAACATTTCCGTCACACGCTTGAGGAATTCGGCCAATCACAACGCACTGGATAGCTGGCCAATCAGAGCACACCTCGCTTTTTCAGACCGATGAGCTTTGTAAAAATCGACGCGTTTCAGAAAGGCGGGGCATAGAGGAGAAACAATAATGTACAGTATGTGGAAAATAATGTTTTTTTAACCTTAAACCACATAAACACATTTCATTACACCAAATATACAAACTAATGTTCTTTTTAGCAGCATCATATGACCCCTTTAAAAAAAAAAAAGATTCTATGGCAGAAACAAAAAATCCTCAGAATTCAGGGGAAAAAAGGTCAGAATTGCGAGATGTAAACTCTGGAAAGAAAGTTTATTTATTGCAGTTTGACCATTTTATTTTCTCAGAACTGAGAGTTTATATCTCGCAATTTTTACTTTATTCCTCGCAATTCTGACTTAATTGTGAGATATAAACTCAGAACTGCAAGATGTAAAAGAATTCTGAAAAAAAAGTCAGAACTGCAAAATATAAACTAAATTGTGAGATATAAATTTGCAATTACAAGAAAAACGTCAGCATTGTGAGATAAAAAGTACATTTTTTATTTTTACTTTTTTTTTTTTCCATGGCAGAAACAAAATATTTCAGAATTCAGAGAAAAAAAGTCAGAATTGCGAGATGCAAACTCAGAATTGAGATGTAAACTTGGAATTGCGAGAAAGCAAGTCCTGGATTCTGAGTTTATATCTATTTCTGATATATGGAGCGATAAAAAGAGGTCATCAATATGAACCAATAATTTTGAACCTGGCTTTATCCAGCGTTCACATTTCTGTTCTCAGAATGTATGCAAATGTGTGCATATATAATTAGATATAGCCTCATTTGCATATTTAAACAACATTTCAGAAAGTTTGTAATACAAAACAGTTGTCTTAATGTACTGTGACTAATCAACTGGGGAAATTATGGTCATATCTATTAGTTAAATGTTTTACCCTATTCAGCTGTAGTGTCTTGTTTTAAAATAAACAGAGTTTTTAGTGCTTTTAGCAATATGAAATAATAGACA